TGCTCTGTTCCCAGACCAGGAGGAGGAGGAGGAGGAGGAGAAGCAGGTTTCCTGGGCTCCCCACACCCTTCCATGAGCACGTGGGAGCAGCGGAGCCATAAATCAGCAGCGCGCCGGTGCAGGCGGCCACGGGATGAGGCTCTGGCAGAGCCTGGGTGACAGTAGGCGACGTGCTCCGAGGCGCAGTTTGCCTTCGGCTCCCATCACTGGTGAGCCTGGCAGGCCGGGACTGGGAACAACGAGTAGATTTCTCATTTGCTATGGAGAACGCTGAGCTGACATTTCCTCCCCATCACACCTTCCTCCATGTCAGGAGTTCGGACAGACGCGAATCACCTGCTCTAGTAACAGTGCAAGCACGGTCAGAGAGGGGAGCCCAGCAGAGTCTCACGTTACCTGCCAAATCTGTGCAGCAGGATTCTGGAGGGATTGCTCTCCGTGGCTGCGAAGAAGCCTTGGAGCATTTGGAACCCGCGCGCTTCCTGACCTTTTGTACAAGAGAGATTTTCATAGAATCATAGAATCACAGGTTGGAAAAGACCTCTAAGACCATCAACCATCCACCCAACACCACCATTCCTACTAAACCATGTCCCCAAGTGCCACATCCACGTGTTTTTTGAACCCCTCCAGGGTTGGGGACTCCACCACTGCCCTGGGCAGCCTGGTCCAACGCCTGACCGCTCTTTACGTAAAGAATTTTTGCCTCATATCCAATCTAAACCTCCCCTGACGCAGCTTGAGGCCATTGCCTCTCATCCTATCGCTGGTTACCTGGGAGAAGAGACCAACCCCTGCCTCACTACACCCTTTTCTCAGGTAGTTGTAGAGAGCGAGAAGGTCCCCCCTCAGCCTCCTCTTCTCTAGGCTAAACAGCCCCAGTTCCCTCAGCCGCTCCTCATAAGTCTTGTTCTCCAGACCCCTCACCGGGAGGGGTCTAGAGAACACCATTTTGCCGTTGATTACTGTAATGTCTTTCATTGTGAGATTCTACTACGTTTCTTTTTTTTTTAAATGGTTTCATATGACGGTACTCAGAAGCCCCCATCTTTGCCTATGGTTTAAGAAAAAAGCGAGAGGATCTCTGCTATCCCTGTCAACATTTTTATCTGAAATCCCCGGGTGGCTCCGGGGTGGGCGAACCATTGGGCTCCGCATCGGGGAGCACTTACGTTCCTGCTGCCGCTGAAGTCAGTGCCAGCGCTGCCACTTCCTCCGTATTGCTGCTGCATAATATATAAAATAATCCAAGCCAAAATTCAACCGTTTCGCTTTCCTTCCAGTGACAGCAATCAAAGACGCAGCCTGGCAAGATGGCCTTGTGCAAACACACGCTACAGCAAGCGCACGGAGGAATCGAGGCGACAGCAAGCATCGCTAGGTACTACATACGCATGACTTTGTTGGCTGCACGAGAACAGCAGATTTTCCTCTTCGAGGCAGAATATCAATTTGTTAATTTTGTTTGAGATTTTGGTCTACCTTGAGAAGGGTAATTAAACACTTCACAACTGTTTAATAGTGAAAACAAAAATAATACCATGGATGTTACACAAGTAGCCGGGGAATAGAAAACATTGTGCTTTTCTGCCAATGGAGTAGAAAATTTACTATTATGAGTCAAGAGAAGTGAGTCGTTTCAATAATACTCAATTCATATGTTGCTCTTAATAAATCTTCTTTCATGACGATAAAATGCCTTCTAAAGTGCACTTTTGAGAGTAATGATTACACCAGTTTTTTTAGTAGGCAGAAAGGCACAGTGCAGCTCACTCCAGATGAATTTCAACTCCGAGGAGCCGAAGGCAAGAGGAGAGCTAGCCAGAGAGCAGGCGGCAGGCCAGCAGGACGACAAGCGAGCCCAAAGTTCAAGCAAACCCTTCTATCCCGGGCTCCACCTGCATTTTTTTGTTCTTTCTGATAAGCTGCTGTTTCTGCCCGTAGTGTTCCTTGCCCCAAGTCAGGCTGCAGACTGGCACATAGCCTGGTGCGCCGGGGGAAACGGGAATTGCCAGTGCATTTCTCACGCAGCTGCGAAGGGGGCTGTACAAACACATCTGAAGAAACATTTCTTGAAGAATTTTAATCTCCTGGACTTCACTCTGTTTGTTTTAAAGAGATTAAACAGCACACCGTTTATTTTTATTACATGTTGAAATTCCCCAAACCAGGAAATTTTTATTGGGTACCATCCTCCTAAATAAATTTTGGCTTATTGCTTTTTCAGAACATACATAAATCTCATGACAGTCTCAAAGAAATCTTTTTCAGATACGTACCGTAAGTAATATAAAAATGAAGCATGTCACCCTCAAAATAGTTCTCCTTCCTTTTACTATTGGCAAATCTGTAACATGAATATAGGTGACTTAATTCAACAGACTTTTTAATTCAGCAGGCTTTTTTAAAATTCATGTCTGCGGTTAGAAAAAGCACCTGATAATTCAAAACGGGAAGGCTTGTTTTGTTTGGAAAAACCATTTCAGAAATACCTCCCCCCTTTTTGCCAAGAGCAGAACAAACATCTTTCTTTCATCTTCGCTTGTAGGTGGTACAATTTCAGCTCGCTGTGTTTATCACCGTCGGTATTTCCCGTTTTCTCTGAAGTTGCTATCAGAACGTACAATGAAATATATATAAGGTAATATTTGGAGTACCAGAGGCAAGTGGCAGACAGGTGCTGAATATAAATTTCCCTAAATAACGTCTCACCATGGCTGTAACAATTAAGAACTCTTCCAGGCCTCGTCCGTCGGCCCTCATTAACCCACCCGGCGCCGCCGCGGTCCATGACAGCTGGCCGTCGCCC